TTCTTGCCCCACTGCCCAGGGCTCTGTCCCACTTCAACCACCCGCCCTTCCCATGGGAGAAGCGCCCCCCCGGGAACAATACCCCCGGTGCCCTGCCCTGGGCTCCTGCCAGGGGCCCCCATCTGTCCATGTCTGGGACAGAGGAGCCCAGGGGCCAGAGGGGTGCAGGGGGGTCGTCTCCCCAGAGCCTACAGGACCCCTCCAGCTGGGTTCTGCTTTCTCCGAGTGAGCGTCTCCTGGCCCCGCGGGAGCCAGGCATTGCACCGAACGTGCCCAGGCCATGCCCTAGCAACCGTTCCCATGCAACAGCCTCTCGGGCATCCTGGCTCCCGCCACCTCTGGGCCCCTTGGGCTGGGGGCAGAGCTGGTGCACAGGGCACCCCACGGGAGCGGTGGAGCAGCCAGGCCAGGAAGCGCCGCCCTCCTCCCCGGCCAGCCCCTGTGCCCGGCCAACCTGGACCCATTCCCCCCACTGCCCAGGGTGCCTGTGTGTGTGGGAATGGGGGGCTCACCACCCCTCCCCAAGGGGGCCGGCCTGGCAGGCCACGCCGGGCGTTGTTCTGGCTGCAGCAGGCCCTGCCTCGCGGAGGCCCTGGCAGGGAACAGCGGGGATCGCGCTGCCACTGGAGAGATAGGGATGATGGATGAGGGGCTGGGGCCTGGCGCTCTCCGGCCTGCCAGACACACCAGATAAGGGGGATGGAACGCACAGGCCAAGGCCTGGCAGCTGGTCCCATGCTGGGCCTGTGTGGGGGAGCAGATGGGACCAGAAGGGGGCCGGGTGCCATGCTGCCCAGCAGCAGCCCTGAAGACCCAGAGCCTTGATGCCCCCCTCCCGCGGCCAGCCCCAAAGGCTCCAGCTCCTGGGGGGCAGGCTGCAGGGTGTTATTGGGGGGCTGCCACAAGGCACAGGGAGGTCTCTGTATTCTAAGGGGAGGTGTCACCCCACAGTGCGCCCAACTCCCCAGGGACCCATCCCCATATAGGGGCGGCCTCACGGCCTCCCCACCTCCGAGACGCGGCCTCTGGGCTCCAGCCCTCCTGCTTCCCCCCTCGAGCTCTGCCAGCGAGTCCCACGCAGCCAGGCTCTGGGGGAGTCTCGTCTGCTCTGCAGGGACCGACGCGCCCAGCCAGGACCTGCAGCGACCCTCACCCAGCGCAGGCCCAGCCGCCTGGACACAGCCTGGGAAGCCTGGAGCTGAGCGTAGGCCCCGTCTACACTAGACAATTAGGTCAGCATGACATCACCGAGGGGTGTGAAAACTCTTCCATCGACCCAGCCACCACCGCTTGGCAAGGCGGATTACCTGCCCCTCCCGGCAGCAAGGGAGCGGCTGCAGTAAAGTGTTGCAGCATGTCCCTGGAGACAGCCCTACGCTGACGGGGGTCATTAATCCACTGCCCTGACCGCCAGCAGCCAGGTTACCTGAAGAATTCTTCCCTGGACGAGCGCTGGCTGCACCGGGGGTTAGGTTGGAATAGTCACGTGTGATAAAATAGGGGATTTTCTTAGCGTTTTGCATGAACACGGTGTGTGCCTCAGTTTCCCTGTGTGCTGCATGTGTAAGGAGG